TGACCGGGCTCCTCTCCCAGCTGGCCTGCTACCCGCAGCCCCTCCTGCGCTCCTTCCTGCTCAACACCAACATGGTCTTCCAGCCCAGCGTCAAGTCCCTCCTCCAGGTGGGCCGCCCTGCCCCGGGGGAGGGCCTCCCCAGCGAGGAGGAGGCGGCGGCGGCGGCCCACCCACACCCTCCCCTCCCCGGGCGGGGACCCTTCCCCCCTCCCCGGGCTGTGACCCCTCCCCTCTCGGCAGGTGCTGGGCTCTGTGAAGAACAAGATTGAGCGCTTCGCAGCCGACCAGGAGGACTTCCCCTCCCTGCTCTTCAAGGCCAAGAAGTACCTGATCGCTCGCGGCAAGCTGGACTGGTCCGATGCCCAGAACGCCGCCCCGTCCTTACGGCGATCGGAAACCCTGGGTGAGAAGCCCCTGCAGTGTGCGTGTGTGTGGGGGTTTGGGGTTTGGCACTCTGGAAGTCTGCCCTCTCGCTCCTTCCGCAGCCCCACAGCGGAAGCCCAGAGTCCCTCTCTCGTTGCTCAACTCTGGTTTGCTCCTTGGCGCTTGCTTTGTAGAGAAGTTTGGTGTCGCGGATTCTAATCTGGAGAACTGGGTTTGATTCCCCACTCCTCCTCCACATGCAGCCAGCTGGGTGACCTTGGGTCAGTCACAGTGCTTCTCTCTGAGCTGCTCTCTCAGGAGCAGTCCTCAAGGGAGCTCTCTCAGTCCCACCTCTCTCACAGGGTGTCTGTCTGTGGTGGGGGGAGGAAGGGAAAGGAGACGGTAAACTGCTCTGAGACTCCTTTGGGGAGTGGAGGGCCGCGGGGTGTGAATCCAGTCTCCTCTTCTTCTGGGGGCTTTTTTGAGTGCTGATGGGGGGGTGTCTTCCTTTGGAAGGTGGGCCAGTGCTGTGAATTGGGGGCCGAAGGGGCAGTGGCTGGCGTGAGACCCCCAAGGGAGCTTGTGGCTGGGAGGAATTCTGTGGGGGCTTCTGCCGTGTGCAGCCCCTTCCCTGCCAGTGAGGGCAGAGGTGGCTCCCCCATGTGGGCTCCTGGGTCCTCTGGTGGGCTGTCCCTGGATCTCCGGGGCTTGACCCTGCAGCCACAGTCGCTCTGTGGCCTGGCCAGAGGGCCGTCTCCGCCAGACGTGTGAGACTGTGCAAGAGGGTAGGCAGAGGATGGTGTGGGCGCGAGGGGTGAGACCGGCAGGCCCCGGTGCGCGGGGTGTGTGTGTGTGCCAGGGCAGCGGGGGGGGCCTTCCCCCCCCGAGGTGCGACCGCTCCTTCTCTCTCCGCAGTGAAGAGCCGGAAGCCGTCCATCGGGGAGCTGATCATGCGCCACACCAACAGCCCCACGCGGGGGGGGCCTTCCCCCCCCGAGGTGCGACCGCTCCTTCTCTCTCCGCAGTGAAGAGCCGGAAGCCGTCCATCGGGGAGCTGATCATGCGCCACACCAACAGCCCCACGCGGGCGCGCCAGGCGGCTCAGCTGGCTCTGCAGCACATGCGGGAGGGGCAGGTGATGCACGCCCTGGCGGGGGCGCCCCCCCTTCCCCGCTCCGCGCGGGACGCA